TGTTTACCTTTTATCGGTTCATCTGTTGATTCCTAATTCCAAAAAAGTCTGCGTCGCAAAATCGAAAATCGCATCAACAGAAACTGGCCAAACTCGCTTTAATTAGAGGCTAAATAATATTATGTGGAAAGTATAAAAACAACACAGCCAAGGTACTTAGACATGTCAAATGCTAAATATTAATGCGTAGTGGGTTTCTTGAACTTTCTTCTTAATTTATTGATTTTAATAAAAGTCTCGTGGATAACATCAGAGATTTTATTGGAGATTAGATGTTGAATGGGGGAACATTCCATTAGTGGAATGTTTATGAATATTATTAATTATTATAATTAAAGCTTTCTAATTTTTACTATGACGACTGGTCTATATTCTATAAATTCCCCTTACAAATTTGGCAAAAAAACATCAAAAGACAGACAGACAGACCAATTTTTTTAGATAGGACTATCGGAATCCGAATTCCCCCAAAAATCGGAAAAAAAACACGGATCCACTTTTTGGCCCCTGCAAAGGCTATATCTTTGGCAAAAATTATCGAATTCTAGAGCAGAATACCTTAAACGATTCGAGATCGTTTCTCCACGAATCTGCATCAAAATATAAGAACGTAATTTTTTTCCATTTTTTTTTTCAAATTTTCTGGAAGACTTCCTTTGAAAATCCACCAAAATGCTTGGAGCCACTAAATGGTCCACAGCAAAGGCTATATCTTGGGAAATAATTATCCGATTCTTGAGCGGAGTACCTTAATCGATTTGTAGATCGATTCTCCACCAATCTGCATCAAAATTTGAGAGCGGAATTTTTTTTAAATTTTTTGTCAAATTTTCTGGACGACCCCCTTTGAAAATCCACCAAAATGCATGGAGCCACTATGTGGTCCACAGCGAAGGCTATATCTTCGGCACTACTTATCCGATTCTTGAGCGGAATATCTTAAACGATTTGTAGATCGATTCTCCACCAATCTGCATCAAAATATGAGAACGTAATTTTTTTCAATTTTTTGTCCAATTTTCTGGAGGTTCCCCTTTGAAAACCCACCAAAATGCATGGAGCCACTATGTGGTCCACAGCGAAGGCTATATCTTCGGCATTAATTATCCGATTCTTAAGAGGAATACCTTAAACGATTTGTAGATCGATTCTCCACCAATCTGCATCAAAATATGAAAACGTAATTTTTTTCCAATTTTTGTCAAATTTTCTGGAGGGCCCCTTCGAAAACCCACCAAAATGCATGGATCCACTATGTGGTCCACAACGAAGGCTATATCTTCGGCCATAATTATCCGATTCTTAAAAGGAATACCTTAAACGATTTGTAGATCGATGCTCCACCAATCTGCATCAAAATATGAGAACGTAATTTTTTTTCAATTTTTTGTCACATTTTCTGGAGGACCCCCTTCGAAAACCCACCAAAATGCATGGAGCCACTATGTGGTCCACAGCGAAGGCTATATCTTCGGCAATAATTATCCGATTCTTGAGCGGAATACCTTAAACGATTTGTAGATCGATTGTCCACCAATCTGCATCAAAATATGAGAACGTAATTTTTTTTAAATTTTTTGTCAAATTTTCTGGACCCCTTTGAAAACCCACCAAAATGCATGGAGCCCCTATGTGGTCCACAGCGAAGGCTATATCTTCGGCAATAATTATCCGATTCTTAAGCGGAATACCTTAAACGATTTGTAGACCGATTCTCCACCAATCTGCATCAAAATATGAGAACGTAATTTTTGTTCCAATTTTTGTCAAATTTTCTGGACGACCCCCTTAGAAAATCCACCAAAATGCATGGAGCCACTATGTGGTCCACAGCGAAGGCTATATCTTCGGCAATAATTATCCGATTCTTGAGCGGAATACCTTAAACGATTTGTAGACCGATTCTCCACCAATCTGCATCAAAATATGAGAACGTAATTTTTGTTCCAATTTTTGTCAAATTTTCTGGACGACCCCCTTAGAAAATCCACCAAAATGCATGGAGCCACTATGTGGTCCACAGCGAAGGCTATATCTTCGGCAATAATTATCCGATTCTTGAGCGGAATACCTTAAACGATTTGTAGATCGATTCTCCACCAATCTGCATCAAAATATGAGAACGTAATTTTTTTTCAATTTTTTGTCACATTTTCTGGAGGACCCCCTTCGAAAACCCACCAAAATGCATGGAGCCACTATGTGGTCCACAGCGAAGGCTATATCTTCGGCAATAATTATCCGATTCTTGAGCGGAATACCTTAAACGATTTGTAGATCGATTCTCCACCAATCTGCATCAAAATATGAGAACGTAATTTTTTTTTAATTTTTTGTCAAATTTTCTGGAGGACCCCCTTTGAAAACCCACCAAAATGCATGGAGCCACTATGTGGTCCACAGCGAAGGCTATATTTTCGGCATTAATTATCCGATTCTTAACAGGAATACCTTAAACGATTTGTAGATCGATTCTCCACCAATCTGCATCAAAATATGAGAACGTATTTTTTTTCCAATTTTTGTCAAATTTTCTGGAGGGCCCCTTCGAAAACCCACCAAAATGCATGGAGCCACTATGTGGTCCACAGCGAAGGCTATATTTTCGGCATTAATTATCCGATTCTTAACAGGAATACCTTAAACGATTTGTAGATCGATTCTCCACCAATCTGCATCAAAATATGAGAACGTAATTTTTTTTTAATTTTTTGTCAAATTTTCTGGAGGACCCCCTTTGAAAACCCACCAAAATGCATGGAGCCACTATGTGGTCCACAGCGAAGGCTATATTTTCGGCATTAATTGTCCGATTCTTAACAGGAATACCTTAAACGATTTGTAGATCGATTCTCCACCAATCTGCATCAAAATATGAGAACGTAATTTTTTTTAAATTTTTTGTCAAATTTTCTGGAGGACCCCCTTCGAAAACCCACCAAAATGCATGGAGCCACTATGTGGTCCACAGCGAAGGCTATATCTTCGGCATTAATTATTCGATTCTTAAGGGGTATACCTTAAACGATTCGTAGACCGATTCTCCACCAATCTGCATCAAAATTTGAGAACGTAATTTTTTTTCAATTTTTTGTAAAATTTTCTGGAGGTCCCCCTTCGAAAATCCACCAAAATTCATGGAGCCCCTATGTGGTCCACAGCGAAGGCTATATCTTCGGCAATAATTATCCGATTCTTAAGCGGAATACCTTAAACGATTTGTAGACCGATTCTCCACCAATCTGCATCAAAATATGAGAACGTAATTTTTGTTCCAATTTTTGTCAAATTTTCTGGACGACCCCCTTAGAAAATTCACCAAAATGCATGGAGCCACTATGTGGTCCACAGCGAAGGCTATATCTTCGGCAATAATTATCCGATTCTTGAGCGGAATACCTTAAACGATTTGTAGATCGATTCTCCACCAATCTGCATCAAAATATGAGAACGTAATTTTTGTTCCAATTTTTGTCAAATTTTCTGGACGACCCCCTTAGAAAATCCACCAAAATGCAGGGAGCCACTATGTGGTCCACAGCGAAGGTTATATCTTCGGCATTAATTATCCGATTCTTAACAGGAATACCTTAAACGATTTGTAGATCGATTCTCCACCAATCTGCATCAAAATATGAGAACGTAATTTATTTTTAATTTTTTGTCAAATTTTCTGGAGGAACCCCTTTGAAAACCCACCAAAATGCATGGAGCCACTATGTGGTCCACAGCGAAGGCTATATTTTCGGCATTAATTATCCGATTCTTAACAGGAATACCTTAAACGATTTGTAGATCGATTCTCCACCAATCTGCATCAAAATATGAGAACGTAATTTTTTTTAAATTTTTTGTCAAATTTTCTGGAGGACCCCCTTCGAAAACCCACCAAAATGCATGGAGCCACTATGTGGTCCACAGCGAAGGCTATATCTTCGGCATTAATTATTCGATTCTTAAGGGGTATACCTTAAACGATTCGTAGACCGATTCTCCACCAATCTGCATCAAAATTTGAGAACGTAATTTTTTTTCAATTTTTTGTAAAATTTTCTGGAGGTCCCCCTTCGAAAATCCACCAAAATTCATGGAGCCCCTATGTGGTCCACAGCGAAGGCTATATCTTCGGCAATAATTATCCGATTCTTAAGCGGAATACCTTAAACGATTTGTAGACCGATTCTCCACCAATCTGCATCAAAATATGAGAACGTAATTTTTGTTCCAATTTTTGTCAAATTTTCTGGACGACCCCCTTAGAAAATCCACCAAAATGCAGGGAGCCACTATGTGGTCCACAGCAAAGGTTATTTCTTCGGCAATAATTATCCGATTCTTAAGAGGAATACCTTAAACGATTTGTAGATCGATTCTCCACCAATCTGCATCAAAATATGAGAACGTAATTTATTTTTAATTTTTTGTCAAATTTTCTTGACGACCCCCTTTGAAAATCCACCAAAATGCTTGGAGCCACTAAATGGTCCACAGCGAAGGCTATATCTTCGGCAATACTTATCCGATTCTTGAGCGGAATACCTTAAACGATTTGCAGATCGATTCTCCACCAATCTGCATCAAAATATGAGAACGTAATTTATTTTTAATTTTTTGTCAAATTTTCTTGACGACCCCCTTTGAAAATCCCCCAAAATGCTTGGAGCCACTAAATGGTCCACAGCGAAGGCTATATCTTCGGCAATACTTATCCGATTCTTGAGCGGTATACCTTAAACGATTTGTAGATCGATGTAGATTTTCTACAAATCTGCATTAAAATATAGTTCCATCATTTATTTTAGATTTTTTTAATATTTTTCTAAAACGTCCTCTTTAGAAATCCCAAAATTGCATGTTAGGCCAATATGATTTCAAAAGGGCTGATACGGATTATACAGAATCGGTTAATGGATTCTAGATATTGCCAGATCAAAGTACTTTAATGATTTTTGAAATTTATAACGCTTTGTGCCCGGTCACACTTTTGAAACTGTATCTTACAGTTATTGGAATTTCGCTCTTTTTTGCAAAATAAAAGTTTTGTAAGCCGTTCCTTTTTTGTCGTTTTGTGTCCGTCCAACTATTTTCGTCCCCTACAAAATGGAACGCTACAATCGAGTGTGGAGAGGTAATTTTGTGAATTAAAATTTAAAAAATGTTGCTCCATATTGATTATTGTAATTTTCGCAGATCCCGGATCTCCTCTGGCGCCAATTACTCCACTCACTTCCCAGGCATTTTCATTCGACACTGGAGTGGACGATGATGTAACGCCCACTGGGGTCGGAAGGAGCAACACTACATCGCGCACTGCCCTGTTCCGTGGCCTCAGGTCTAACCTTTTGCAGGTGCCGGACCGCCGGCACACAAGACACAGTACTAGTACGCGGACCCTACCAGGAAGTGCCGAACCGACGCGTTTTTCCCAAGCATTTATGCGCACGCGATCCGTGTTTTCGCCATCAGGTCAGAACACCCACAGTGGAACCACTGGAAGTGGAAGGAACACCTCCTCCTCCATTTCGCTTGACACACAATCGCGAGGGGAACGAGCCGCGAAAATTAAGCAGGAAATCCAGCAAGGGTCGCGGCACACAGTAACGGTTAAAAATGATTTGTCCTGGTTGAAAAAGGAGTCCAGTTCCAGAAAAAAGGATTCCAACATGAGCCCCAATCCCCATTCCACTTATAGACGCTTTAAGCATGCCTCCCCGGTGGAGCATCCTACCTTGAGTCCACGGGTTAGATCCCTGCTAGACCGCACCGGCAATGAGCATCTCACAGAGCTGTTCACAAGCCAGGAGATAGACCTTGAGGTGTTGATCCAACTGACCCTTGAGGACCTGGAGGCCTTGGGAGTTCGCGGGGCACGAGAGGTCAAAATTGCCATGCAAATTATTCAGCTGGCCAAGCAATTTTTTCAAACTTAAATTAATTCTTTTATGTGTGCGAAATTCCAGAATATCTTAATGTTTTATGTCGTCACTTTTTTAAATGGTTAGTTTTAAATAAATGTTTATTTTAAATTCAATAACAAAATTAAATGGCGAATTTTTTTTAAAGGCTTAAAACTAAAAGAAAATCTTTAAAAACGAAATGTTTAAAAATATCATTTAAAAAAAAATGAATGCATCCCTGGACTTTGGCGCGCAAACGTTATCGTTATCGATTACCCATTCGTCGAAAACTAATCGATAAGACTAGACGCGGTATTCCCATCACTAAAAACAACCAACACGTGTTTAGGAGTGAAACTAGCGCAGTTTTGGCTGAATATTCAATTATTTTTACTTAAAAATCATGGTTAAGGTAAAGCAGGAGCGTTCCGAAGATGCCGACACCTCTGTCCAGGTGAGCGGAGATGTGTCGATCAAGGAGGAGGAGACCTATGATGACAAATTGCTGTTCGTGAACTCCATCGCCAAACCCATGGCAGGTAAAAAACTGGCCAAAAAGTGCTACAAACTGGTAAAGAAGGCCATGAAGCACAAAACCTTTTTGCGAAATGGCCTCAAGGATGTGCAGACCCGCATACGCAAAGGCGAAACTGGGTTAGTATATGATTATCCCTATGAAAGTATTGAAATTAATGAGTTCTTTCTGGAACAGAATTTGCATCTTTGCTGGCGATGTGACTCCCGTGGAGATTATGTGCCACTTGCCGGCTGTTTGTGAAGAAAAGGGTATTCCCTATGCATACACGCCAAGTAGGTCGGATCTGGGAGCTGCCATGGGCGTCAAGAGGGGTACAGTTGCCCTGCTGATCCGTCAAAACGATGACTACAAGGACCTGTACGATGAGGTCAAGGAGGAGCTTTCCGGCTTGAATATTCCTGTCTAATGCAATAGAATTAGTTTTGTCTGCTAATTAAGAATATAGTTAAGTTTAAAACAAAAATCCTAATAAATGTCAGAGGAATATTTTTCTGGATAAGCAAAAATTTTAATCCTTTTTTAAATCTAAAATCTAAAATCCCGAAACCAAAATTCCAAAATGTTCTTTTTTTTTGTTGTCCCTTGGGGATCTTTTTTGTTTTCTCTTTTTTTTTGTGATTTTTTTTTATAAGTATTTTCAGCGTAGCTGGTTTCATATAAATTGTTTTACATATACAATACAATAGAAATGGGGGAAATTTCGTTAGATTTCTGTTATCCTTCTGGTTTTTTGTGCTCGATGAATGTGTCCTTTTATGGTAGGTTGTTAGTAGGATGGTGATCATGTGTGTTGATGTATGTATGTGGCTTCTAAATTTACATATAATTAACACTAAATGTGTCCAGTGTAGTTATGCAATGTATGTATATATCCTATATTTTTTAAAGATCTTTTTTTTTTTGTAACAAATGACATGAGTGGAGGGGGGTTATTAAAAGTACAATCTTTTTGTTTGTTTATTAAATTTAAATTTCGTTCTTTTTCTTTTTAGTTTTTGTTTAGTTTGTTATGCGTTACATTGGTTAAATAATTACAGGTATATATAGTTAATAATGTATATGCTATCCAAGTCGCTAGCCAAAAATACTACGATAAAACTCAAAGATCGGTTAAATACTCTTATCGAAAAGTTCATATATATATTTGTTTTTGTTTTTTTGCATTTCTTTCGTTTTGTTTTACAGTTAACCAGTCATCAGAAAGGACTAAAGGAGGGCTTTGTTTATAAGAAGATTTTATTCTGAGAGATGGGGTGGGGGAGGGGACGACGACTATACGTGCAGGATGCAGGATGCAGGACGATGGCTGCAAAAATGGGGGTCTTAGGGATCAGATCAACAATCGTAATATAATTTACACACACATCGACAATTTCGAATGGGCAAAGGAACAAATAACTCGTGCACAATTTAAAGATATATATATATATATATATAGGCATATCATATATATGTTCGTATGTAGGTATGTTTAATTCGTACACAATATCCCCTATAGCCATTAAATATATATATATATTAGGTATATAATCTGAAGTTACAATTAATAAGGATAATAATTTATATATTTGAGTGCATGACAAATTTTCAGTTTTTAATGATTTTTTTCGTTAATAGTTATTTTTTTTTTTATGTTTTTTTGTTTTTTGAATAGTCAACTGCTGTACAAATTGAAAGTTTTACAATCGATAACTGAAAAGGTAGAAAGAGAACTGAAGGTTCACGTAGCTCCCCCGAGGAGCTACGACCTAAAATTAGCAAAAAATTTACAATACAAATGTTCTTGAATTATCTTACAATCTAAAGCTAACTATGCATTCTGCAGTTTATAGTTATTACATATTTTATCTCATTTTTTTTTTTTTTAATTTTTATGTTGACTTTTAATTTTTTTTGTAATTTTTATTTTTTTTTTGCATTTTATCCTTTTTTCTTCGTTTTCAGAGTCTAATGAATAAGGTTGTTTCTTGTATAGGCATAATATTTAATTTTGTAACTGGGCTGCTCAGAGCAACCCGTTGGATGCGGGGGCAGAAAGGTGGTGGGTGGCAGGAAAAGTGGGAAGTGGGAGAGACAGGATGAGGTCGTCGGCGAAAAACAAAATTCCTGCTGCGGCATTTGGGCAAAACTTTTAGTAAACACTAAGAAAATTACCTAAATAGGTATGTATATATTATTAATTAATTATAATAATTCACACGTTAAACTTAAGGCTACCGTAACTAAATAATTTGCAATTAAAATGAAAGCAAAAAATAAGGATAAGGGGGGGTAGTAGGGGGGAGGGCCAACTATAATTAACAAGCAGTTCTTTTTTCGTTTTTTGTTTTCTTTTCCGTTTCCGTTTTCGTTTCCTTTTCCGTTTTTTTCCCATTATCTGGGATATTTTTTACGTTTTTTTGTTTCTCTATGAATTTTTCAATTTTTTTTTTATTAAATTTTCTTTTTTTTTTTTGTTTTTTTTTGTTTTTGTTTCCTTTAGATTAAAGCCCTTTGATGCCACAGCAGGAGCAGTACCAACTCTCACTGAAAATAGTTGTAGAATCCCGTTGTGGCCTGTCCCAACTCCCGGATGGCGGCAAAGGGATCCTTCTCGAGTAGATCCCCGCCGCCAACCGACTGGGAGGACTTGCCACCCGCCCCTGCCCCGCCCACAACGCCACCCGCCTGCTGCGATTGACCCGCCGAGGGTCCAGCCGGTCCACCACCGCCGCTCAGCACGGCCGCATATGTGGTCGCCGACGAAGAGCCCGACTGCTGGTGCTGATGGCTCGCCTCCGAATGGGGGACATTGGCCTGGAACAGGTCCACATCATGGCCGCCTTTCAGGGCATTGAAGTTGTTGAAGAGCACGCCGTGCATGTGGTCCGACGACTTGATGCCGTGATCCACCAGCGAGTTGTTGGCCTGGAAGAGGGCTTCGATCAGGTTGGTGCCCGAGTTCAGGCCCGGCATGTTGTTGTAGCTGTTCCCGCCTCCGATGCTGTTCCCGCCTCCGATGCCGTTCCCGGCCAGAGCCTGTCGCCGGTACAGCGGCACCGAGCTGTTGCCATTGCTCAGCAGTCCGTTGTTATTGTTGTTGTGACCTCCGCCGTTGTGACCACCGGCTCCGATTCCCAGTCCTCCAACTCCACCGGCACCCAGGTTGTTATGCATGTTCAGGTTGTTGAACGGCTTGTCGTTGAGAAGTGCGTTTCCAGCTAAAGATAAAGATGAAAGGTATTAGTTTAGGAGGTTCAAAGGTTAGCAGTTGGTTCCCTCAACCCATTGGCCAAGTTGGAAGACATAGATCTTGTCCCTAGACTCCCCACAAGTCGCACACAACCTATCCTTGCAAAAATATCCAACACATCACACTTTAATCTAAAACTATCTTAAAACAATATTTACAGAACACACATCAAATCTCCCGGTGTCTTGACTTGCCAAAGGTCCCAGATCCCAGATTCGAGCCAGATCCGTTTCGTATCCGGTTCAAATCCGATTTCTCTTACCATTGCCCATGAAGTTGGAGTTCCCGACGCCGCCCAGACTGTTGCCGCTGCCGTTGGGCGGTGCCTGGTGGAGGCCCGGGCCGCCCATGTGATTGGGATACAGCGGTCCGGGTGCTGGCCCTGGACCCGGACCCGGTGGTGGCTTTCCTTGCTGCTGCTGCTGTTGTTGTTGCTGCTGCTGCTGCATCATGGCGAACAGGCGGCTTTGCTGCTGCTGCTGCTGCTGGAGATCGGCGCCATTGAGACCATTGTTCATCGGTGGGCCATTGGGATTTCCGGCGCTACCCGCCACCATGCCCAGTACATCCCGTAGGATCGGCTGTGCTATGTCGTTGCCCCCATTCATGATGGAGTTGAAGACCAAATCGATCTGCTGGTTGAAGTTCTCCAGCGGCGGTGAGGCGTCCACGGACTGCTGCGGCTGTTGCTGCTGCTGTGGATACATCATCGGGTACTGCGGCCGCTGGACATGGGGATTGTTCAGCATGGGATTGTTGACCATCGGCTGCTGGGGCGGCTTGTGCTGTTGTTGCTGTTGCTGCTGCTGTTGGAGAGTGGCCATCACCTGGCGCAGCATGTCCGCGAACTTGTTGGCTCCGTCCTGGCCCACGGTCTCCAGCAGCTTAAGGTACCACTTGTATTGCTCCTCCTTCGGGTTGAACGCCATCTCGTAGATGCTTACGTTCGGCGGCAACAGTTCCTGGAATCTCATCGAGCTGGGTGACGGCTGCTTGCCGGCGTACATGAAGTGATTCGGCCCGGGCGGCTGCTGCTGCTGCGACGGAGGCGGCGGTGGTCCTCCCGGGTTGTAGCCACTGCCGTTGTGCCGCAAATAGGGCGGCGGCCCGTTCTCCATCGGTGACATGGGTCCGTTGGGCACGCTGCTTCCGCGCTGCATTCCTCCGCCCATCGGCGGCGCCTGTTGTTGCTGCTGCGATGGGTTTGGCGGTGGCCCGAGGCCATAGAGTCCGTGGTGCGGCGGCGCCTGACCATGGTTGTACAGGGTCTTCTTGGCCAGGTAGCCCAGCTCACTGGGATTCCGCAGCAACTGGGCGGCAGCCGAGGCGTTCGGCGGCGGCGGTGGTACACTTCCGCCTCTGAGTGGTAGCGATGGATTCGCGTTGAGCGGTGGTCCTCGTCCAGCATTGCTGACTGGCGGTGGTGGCGGCTGTTGCTGCTGCTTGTTGGGTGGCAGGGCACTCCAGGGATTGGTTTGTGGCGGCGGACCCCACAGGCTGGCGTTCGGATTCTGGGGCGGTGGCTGTTGTCCCGGGCCGGGGCCTTGGTTTTGTCCCTGGGGTGGCCGCCAGTGCTGCATAGCCGGGTACTGCCCATACTGCGGTGGCGGTGGCCCTCCTCCGCCTGCTCCTCCACCGTGCGGCTGACTGGGCGGTGGTCCTCCAGCTGGCATACCCCGCAAGTGGGGTGCTTGGGGTGGTGGTCCTCGCATGCCCATGTGTCCTCCACCGCCGCCTCCTCCTCCCCCTCCACTGCCAAAGTGCGGTGGCGGGCCTGAGCCGGGTCCTCCGGGTCCTGCTCCTGGTCCCGGACCATTGCCGATCTTTCCGCCCACGGCGGCTGCCGCCATCATGGAGTACATGTGATTGGCGGCCATGGCGGCGGCCATTTGATTCATCTGGTGGGCAGCCGCCGCCGGTCCCGGGCCCAGCATTCCCGCGGCAGTGGCGAAGTGAGCCGGCGGTCCTGGTGGCCCGTGGCCGCCGTGTCCGTGCTGGGGTCCGTTCAGGTAGAGAGCAGCCTGCTCCCTAAGGTAGGCCTCCGGTTGCAGGGACCGCGGCACAAACTCGGGCGCTAGCGGATTCAGGACGTAGCCTCGCTTCAACTCCACGCCATCCAGCTGGGACCGCAGGTTCGACCAGGTGATGCCGAACAGCGACTTGTGCTCGTCGCATATCTCGATGAAGCGCTCCCACACCTTCCGACAGCGTCCAATGGAGCAGAGAGCC